TTAAGACAACCAATTCTCTTAGGGTACAGACTGACAATCCCCAGAAGAGGGGGTAGTGGGGGAAGGGAAGAAATAAACCACAGAACTTATATGTATGTATGCATAACCAATGGACATGGACAACAAAACTGGGGACAGGGCGGGGGGGGATGGCGAGGAGGGTGTCAGTGGGGTAAAAAAGGAGAAACATCTGTAACAAAAATAAAATCAAAAAAATAAAATATTTAAAAAATAAATAATAAATAAATAAAATAAAATAGGAAGTAAGAAAACAGTCACTTAAAACCTAAAAATTAGTCCTGGCTGATTTGGCTCAGCGGTTAGAGTGTCGGCCTGTTGTCCAGAGAGACCCGGGTTCGGTTCCCGCTAAGGGCATGTACCTCGGTTGCAGTTAGTCCCCGGCCCTGGTTGGTTGTGCGGGTGGCAGCCACTCGATGTGTCCCTTTCGCGTCGATGTTTCTCTCTTCCTCTCTCTCCCTCCCACTCTATCTGAACAAAAAATGGAAAAATGTCCTTGGGTGAGGATAAAAAAAAAACAAAACCTAAAAATTAAAATTAACATTATTTTATAATATATGCTAAATAACAAAAGAAACCATTTAAAAAAAAAAAGACAACCAGTTCTCTGGTAAGTTTTCCACCTCTAGGCCTTTGCACTCTCTGTTCCTCCCACCTGCTCACTCGCCCCTGGCTGACTTCTCCACTTCCAGAGCCCAAGTCAACCATCACCTCGGAGAAGCCTCTCCCCCCCCCCATCTGACTAGATGCCCCTAGATTATTCTCTTTCTCTGAACCCTATTTGTTTCCTCCATCTGGCACCTACTGTAATGTAGAATTATGCATTTCTGTTGTATTCCCTTTTTAGTGTGTTTCTGCCTAAGAATGTAAGCTTCAAGAGGCAGGGGTGGGGTCTGCCTGAATCGCTGTATCCGCTTCCTTAACCCAGGGACCAGCACAGAGCAGCCCTCAGTACAGGTTTGCTGAGTGGACAAATGGAGTCGTGGTCACCCATTCATCTGTTGCCATGGATTGAATCTCAGTAGCTCCCTGGCCCCCTCAGAGAGAGTGAAACCCAAGTCCTTAGGGGCCGGCGTGACCTGGCCTTGCCTCTTCTTGCCCTCCCCTCACTCCAAACAGCCTTCACACTTGCTCTTCCTTCTCCTAAAACAGTCTTCCAGGAATCTCCTCAGGACTCCCTCCCTGGGGCCCTCAGGTCCTCAGAGCAGCTGTCCCTGACTACTCATGAAGTTCCGTGAGGCCGATGGCTGCTTGGACCCAGAACCTAGAGAGAGCAGTGTCCGGAATACAGTAGGAGCTGGAGAAATGGCTGTAGGATGAACGTGAGGTCAGCAGCCTGTGCCGGCTCTATCTACACGTCTCATGTAACTTTTGTTCTGGCTCTGGGAGGCAGGTACAGTTATTACCCCATTTCACAGACAGCAATCTGAGGCTTAGAGAAGATGAATAAATAGACTGGAACCCTGTTCTGTCTAACCTGCACCTAGTCTCTGTCACCAGCCTGTCTCCCAAGAGGGGCATGAGGACCGCGTCTCCCTTCTGTCCCACAGTTCTCGCAGCCTCTCAGGCAGACATGGCTCAGCCTCCCTCTGGTGTCCCTGTCTCCAATCTCTTTCTCCCACTCACTGACCGCCCTGGCTGCAGAGATTCTTCTGAAGCCCAGATCTGACCATGCCCCTTCTTTGCTCAAAACCCTTCCATGGCTCTCTATTGCCTCGATCCAGCCTGGCATTTGAGGTCTTGCCAACTCTCCAGGCTTATCCCTGCTTCATCAATGCAGAAACCCTACTGAAATGCTCCAAGACAAGCTTGTTCTCAGCTCCAAGTCTTTGGACATGTGACTCTTCTGCCTGGAGCGCCCTCTTCCCTTGATCTGGAAAAACCCGCTCCCATTTGCTCTCAGCTTGGTTGTCACTTTCACTGGAAAAGAAGCGGAGTGGTGTCTTCTTCATACCCTTCCAGCTTCACTCTTAACTGGGGTTTCAGAGGCTCTGAACTCCCCAAGGGTGGGGACCATGACTAATTCATTTCCAGACTCTAGCTTGGGGCCTGACCCAGAGCAGGGACTCAACAATTAGCCATGAAGTGATTGGATGTGTCGGAAGTCAGACTGCTGGCTTGGCATCCTTGGAACCCATGACTGGACCATAAACTGCCTCAGTTTCCTCATCTGTGTAATGAAAATACCAGTCATAGGGTGGGGATGTAATGAGTTCATACATGGAATCACTTGGTATAGTGCCTGGTGCTTGATGGATAACGCCCATCAGAGTGAAGGAAGGGGCATGTGGTGGGCAGCAGCACGAGGGGGAGCTTGGTCCAGGTGGGCACATCTTTCAGGACAGCACTGGCTGATTCATACCCTCACGGCAGCCCTGTCACTGGCTGAGTCTTTTCCCACCACTGCCTGTTGGGTCCAAGGTGGCCAGTGGAATTCGAGGCCATTGGACACAGACAGGAAAAGGCAGCGTCACCAGCCCTAGTGTAATTCAAACCAGATGCAGCCTCAGACCCATGGGGTGGTCACTGTGGGCTTGGCCAAGGCCCAGAGGCAGGAAATAGTCTTGGAGGAACGCTCTCTGGGCTGGGACCAACCGGGAGGAGCTGTCCCATTGAGGCTGTTAACCCTTCTTAGCCCACAAAGGGGGCCCAGGACACTGGGTAGAGGAAGCTTGTGTTCTGGCCCCAAGAGGCACAGAGCACCTTGTAGGGAAGGTCACAGCATCAGCAGTGTGATGGACACCTTGCAGGAGGAGCCCACAACCCAGGCACCATGGCGGGCAGGGCACACCAAGCAAGGGGCAGGGGACAGTCATAGCCTAGCAGCTGGGACTTGCAGAACCCCAGGCCCAGAGCTTTGGCCCTGGCCCTGGCTCCAGCCAGCAGGCCCAGCCTAGGGTTCACTCCCTCCATCAGGGTGACTCCTGAGGTGAAAACGCGCCCCCAACCCCCACCTCTAGGCTGCCGGGGATGGGAGCTCTGGGGATGGTCAGCCCCATTTTAGGGGCTGACACCCCAGCGTTTTCCTAGGCGTGCTCTGTGGCCCTTGAAGGGAGCAAAATCTCTCTGAATCCCCATTTTCCCACTCATCTTCTTACCTCCAGGGACCAGGAAACCCCAAAGGAGGCACCTAATGAATCAGAGCTTTTCCTAAGATGTACTCCTGGGAGGGGATGGGGGTGAAGACAGTAATCAGCCCTGTTCCACGGTTCTGGGTGGGCTTCCTACCCAGGGCATATTCAATTTCTATGTAGCCTTGGTCAAGTCACTTTCCCTCTCTGAACCTGTGAAATATGGTGAATGAGCACCCAGTCCTATATCTTAATTGTCACCATGGCCCTAGGAATGGTAGCGGAGAGCAGAGCTGAGGTTTTCACGTTATAGAGGAGACAATTGAAGCTTATGCTGGGAGTCGGGGGTCCTGGGTTCTAGTTCCGGCTGTGTTGTCCCTGCCGAGGGGCTTGCCTCGTTTTGGCCTCGGTTTCCCTAGCTGGATCCAGGCCCTGAATCTCTGCTCTCACTGGACCTCATTTCCTTCTCCCCCCACTTCACATCAGTGACTCATCCCTCATCATCACGCTGTGTGGCCAAGGCTCAGCCTGGGTGGGGGCCAGCGAGGCTGAGAGAACGCAGAGGAAACCACAGGCCTGGCCCAGCTGGCAGGTGGCGGCAGGCAGGCAGGGATCCACAGCCATGAGCGCCTTGCCCACACACACATCTCCCACCAAGAGCCCAGCTAGGCTCCCCAAGTCTCTCCAAGCCATGCAAATCCCACCAGGCTCAGACTCCAGAGTCACCAGCCCCTTGTGGCACCTGCTGCAGCAGGACTTTGCGCCCACCTGCTGGAAGAGGGTAGAGGTGGCGGTGAGGACCCTGGTCTCACCCAACAGATCGATGTTCACAGAGGCAGGGGTGGGAGGGGGTGAACTGTCAGGGTCTCAGTCTGTGGGCAAGTCCACGATTCTCAGGAAACAGGCAGTGTAGCAATTAAGAGCGTGGGCTCTGGGTCCAGACTGGGTACAAATCCTAGCTCTGCCACTGACTAGCTATCTGATCCTGAGCAAAGGGCTTACTCTCGCTGAGGCTTGGCTTTCCCAACTGAGCAATAGACACAACAAAACACCACCATGCAGGGTCACCGTGAGGAGCTGATGTGACCATGAACACTTGGAGCTGGGCCGGGTCTGGCACCCAGCAGGTGCTCAATGCATGTGGAGTGCTGTCTGTCATTCCTGCTGGAACCTATAGACATGACTCTAGCAGGTAGACCAGCTGCCCCACTTCGGTCAGTCCCACCTCTGGTTCAATGTCCTCACAACTAGAAAGGCTGTACCCTTTTAGGGTTAAGCCCTCCTGCCCTGCTTTCCCAGCAGATGGAGCCCCCTACTCTGCACTGCAGGGCTGTGGTGAGATGGGTTGTGGCCCAGCAGAGAACAGCTCTCTCCGGAGGCTTCCCAGGAGACCCCATCACGGCAGGTCCAGCAGACTCTGCTCTCTGCTTACGCCTTACTCTGGTGAAAAGCAGGGTGGGCTCATGAGCAGAACCCTGCTCTGGGAGACAGAAGAGTTCGTTTCCAGCTCCAGCTTCTGACTGGTTGAGTAGTCTTCAAGTTTCTTCCCCTCTATGAACCTCAGTTTCCCCCTCTGTAATAGGACTAATAATAATATCTGCAGCATTACCTTTCTGTGAAGAGTAAATGAGTTAGCATACACACAGTGCTTCAGTAGAGCTTGGCACATAGTAATCACCCAATAAATATTAGCTGGTGCTGTGACCTCCCTCTCACAGATGAGGAAACTGAGGCACAAAATAGAGAAGCCACTTGCCCAGATCATGCACTGGGCAGTGTGGCTCCTGAGGCTGCACTGGTGACCATAACTCCGTGAACTGACAGACATCGCTAACATGTCTGGCCTGCAGTAGTTCTCAATGAATGGGGGTCGTCTGTGACTTCATCTGAATGAATGCAGAGGGAAGCAGGCCACATCCAACCTGTACATTTATTTACAAGGCACAAGCTGAGAGCAGGCTGGGGGCTGCCCCAAGGCCTTTGCACTCCTCCTGGGCCTGCTGAGTCCATTATCTGAGCCCCATGTGTGACCCCTGGGATGAGGGCCCAGAGCGGCTGGGCTGAGCCAGCAAGACCCTCAGGCAAGCTCGGGGGTGGTCTCCCATGTTCCCCAGACCCCACCTGCCCCCCTTCGCCAGGCCTGGGCTGGGTGTCCTCTCTCTCACTTGGAGTTCCTGTGTGTTGGTGGTCAGCAAGGAAGGTGGGCGGGGTTGGACCTGGCCAGATGGTGTGTGCTGGACCTTATCTGTTGGGTGTGGGGAGGCGGGCGGGGCACGCAGATCCTCTTTCACAAAGCCTGCTCTGTCTCCTGGCAGCTGGGCCTCAGGAATCAGCTTTGCTGCCTTCCTTCCTGGCCAGGAGCCTCCCATCCACAACCACGAGAGCCCCACACATGGGGACCCCTAGCCCTCTCACTTCAGCTAGGAGCAAGCCCAGGCCAGGGGTGCCCAGGTGGGACCAAGCAGGGGTCACCAGGGCAGCAGTTCCAAGAGGGGGAGCCGGGGAGGAACAACGGGCCTGCGGCGTCTGGGCTGTGGCTGATGTGCCGGAGCCTTGTCTGCGGAGGCGATAGCAGGATGGATTCAGGCCACATCCAAGGCGGCTCTCACTGGGGAAGTAGTCACTGTGTGGGGACGTGGGGGTGTGGGGAGCCCCGAGCCTCCCAGCCTGGCGAAGCCTTATCCTGGCCAGCCCGCCCTGGGGTCTGGCTCGTCTGCTCTGGCCTCTGGGCTGTGTGGCCTCAGCCTTGGCCACCATGCAGCTGCTTCCAGGCCTCAGCTGCTCCCGGGGCTCAGACCCCCAGAGCCATCAGTGACCCTGAGCTGCTGATCTTCTTGAAGCGATTGGCAGCGCTGACGGCAATGAAGTTTTTCTGTGGGATGATGGAGAGCGAGCCCAGTCAGCATCAGGTCAGGGAGAAGCTATGGGACAGCTGAGTGTCTCCTCAAGTCCCCTTTATTGCAGGAGGGCCCGATGCCAGGGCAGGTGCAGTACTCAAAATGGCCACAGGAGGTGCCCTGACACTGCGTCCTCCAGGATTCCTTCCTCCATTCAACATATTTGTCAGCAGACTATTGCTCTATCAAGTGCTCCAAGTAAAAGATAAACTCCTCACCATGGCCAACAAGTCCCTCCACACCCTGCCTCCCGCTCCTCTCTGAGCTCATCTGCCAGCCCCCTTGATTCTTCCACTCCATCCGTACTGGTTTCCTACCTGCTCCTCACACTTGCCAACCATGCTTCTACCTCGGGCCTTTGGACTGGCTGTTCCCTTTGCCTGGGACGCGTTCCCCAGGACCACACCGTTCACTCCTCACCTCCTTCGGGTCTTTGTTCACAGTATCCCTCTCGGTGATGCTCCCTGACCACTTATTTAGAAGTGTGACCTCTCCTCTGGCACTCCTGACCACCCCTATTTTATTTTTTTGGTACATGCCCCTAGCAGGAACCGAACCTGGGACTCTCTGGTCAATGCTCCAACTGCTGAGCCAAACCGGCCAGGGCCACCCCTATTATTTTTTCTAGAGCCCTTCCTTAACCCTTTAAATATCTCCCAACCCCTCCCCCTAATGTAAGTCCACAAACACTGAAATCCTCGTGTCTCGTATCCACTGGTGTATCCCCAGTGCCTAGAAGTAGTAGAGGCTCAATAAATATTTGTAAAATGAAGGAAGGAAGCCTGTGATGAGGACAGAGACATTTTCCTGAGCCCAAGCCCCAGATGGACACCCCTCCTCAGGGTGGAGGGGGTGGGTGGAGGGTCAGGAGCCAGCCCAGGACAAAGGGAGGAAAGCCAGGACCAGGCCTGGTGGACAGAACCTGCCAAGGCAGGGCTGGTGGGGCCCCGGATATGGTGCCAGGAGCTCTTTCTGCCTTGCAGCCCCTCCCTCCTCCCGCCCCCAGCCCAGTGGTACCTTCCAGCGTCTCTTCATGAGGTATTTCTTAAGCAAGATCTGGGACTTGAGGCGTCGATTACAGCGCTTGGCTTTCTCTGCCAGGTTGTTGAGCCAGGGGTGAGCAAGGCACTGGGCAGCACTCATGCGGGCCCTGTGGGGAGGGGGCAGCATGGTGAGGGTGGGTGGCATTCCCACAGGCACTGGAGCCCAGCTGGCCTTCCAGCCAGTTCCCACCCTGCCTGCACACGCATGCACTGGGCTCGCACACAGTGGGTTCCTGTCTTGTGGTGAGCCTCACCCCTGGTCCTTGACGATGAGGTTGGAGACAAAGTCTTTGGCCTCATCCGACACAGCCTCGAAGGTTTCCTCATCAAAGTACCAGTTGCTGGATAGAACATTATTTAGGGTCTCTGTGTCATCATCTCCCAGGAAGGGGGAGAGGCCACTCAGTCTGGAGGGAGGGGATGACAGGGGGCAGGGAGGTGAGATTAGAGATGCTAAGTCACCTTTGAGGGTTTGGGGGGTGGGGATAGATCCTAGGAGGCAGCACCAGGTGCTGAAAAGACCCCCAGCCTCTCATGTGGGACAGACCTGAGTTTGAATCTGGCTGGGTGACCTTGGGCAAGTCACTTCCCCTCTCTGAGCCTCACTCTTCTCATCTGTAAAATGGGCATAATCATCCCAGCTTCCCAGGGTTACAGTGAAGAAGAGGAACGGTGAGTGCACAAAAAATGTCCACTATCCCTCTGCCCCCACCCTGGGATGTCAGAGATCTGCTGTCCAGAGCCCTGGGTTGGGATGCTGTGCCTTTAGGGGCCTCAGTTTCTTCATTTATAAAATGGGTACAAAGTTCCCCTTTCTTGGTTCTCCCTAGCACTCCCAACACCCAGCAAACCCCTGACTGAGTGAGTGAGGAGGTGAGACCACCTCACCAGGATCCAAGGCCAGTCTCGGCCTCAGCTGCCCACCCAGGTGCCCCAAGTCCAGGAACACCATGCTCCCTCGGGGCTCACAGCATGTAGGTGATGACCCCCATACTCCACATGTCTGTCTTGTCGGAGATTTGGTCGTAATTCACCACCTCAGGTGACAGGAACTCTGGAGTCCCAAAATTCACCTTCAGCTTCTCATTGGGATTATACCTGGAGGTGAGACCAGACACTCAGAGTGCAGCTCCCAGTCTGTTCCCACGCCCCCTACACCCCTCCTTTGCCCTCTGCCCTCCGCAGAGGCTTGCCATGCCCTCCCTCCCACCCCAAGGTGGTACCTTCGTGCCAGGCCGAAGTCAATGATCTTCACCAAATGGCCGGTGGTGTTGACACATAGGATGTTCTCTGGCTGAGGAGAAGGGGTGGCCTGGATTGGCCTCTGACCCGGTTTACCCTCCCTCCCTGTCAGGTCCACCCAGGTCCCAGGTCCAAGTCCCCGGGTAAGAGGCTGGCTCAGAGCCACCACCAGGTACATGGAGAAAGGAAATGCCAGCTCGGGGCTCCCAGAGGCCTCTGGGAACAGAGGGCCTTCACGCTGCTCCTGCCACACTCTAAGGGGTGTTACTCTTGTCTCCCCAGTCAGGGATGACGGCAACACCTCCAGAACACCAGCCCTGTGTCAGTCACTTTGCCCATGTTAGCTTCTCAATCCTCCCCACCGCTCTACGAGCAGAGACCGTCCCCTCTCCATGCCCAGTTCACAGCTGAGAAAACTGAGACTTTGACACAGAAGTGACTTAGTCACCCAACAAGTAAGTGATAGAACCAGGACTTGACCCCAGGACTGTCTGTTTCCAGTGCCGGTCCCTTGATATCACTGCCTGCCGCCAGCCAGCAAGGACCCATAGTGTGCTCTACAGGGTAGGGTTGGGCAGACAGTCTGCTTGTGAGTTGATTCCTCCAGGGCAAGTATGGTCTTCTCTCAGCCCCCTTGCTCCCCACCCTCAGTGTCTAACAAAGACACCCATAGGTGCTCAGCCAGGGCTCCCAGAAAGAATCCTGTGTCCCAAGCACAGGTGAGCATGTTAATGAAGTAACTTTAAGGCTAATCCCTCCCCACTCTGGGTCTCCATCTCTCTTTTTTTTTTATCCTGACTGAGGACATGTTTCCATTTTTTGTTCAGATAGAGTGGGAGGAAGAGAGAGAGAGAAACATCAATGTGAAAGGGACACATCGAGTGGTTGCCACCCTCACGACCCAACCAGGGCCGGGGACAAACTGCAACCGAGGTATGTGCCCTTAGCGGGAACCGAACCCGGGTCTCTCTGGACCACTGGCGGGTGCTCTAACCGCTGAGCCAAACCAGCCAGGGCTCCATCTCTTCATATAACACAAGGACACAGGAAGAATCGGGTTATAGGGCAGAAATATTTTAAGTAGTTGACAATGGTCAAAAGGCAGGAGATTTGCCCAGATGGTGTTGCTCAGTGGGTTGAGCGTTGACCCATGTCCCAAGAGATCTCTGGTTCAATTCCCAGTCGGAGCACATGCCTGGGTTTGGGGCTTGATCCCTGGTGGGGGGTATGCAGGAGACAGCCTACTGATTTCTCTCTCATCGATATTTCTATCTCTCTCTCCCTCTCCCTTCTTCTCTATCTAAAAATCAGTAAAACATATATATTTTTAAAGGCAGGAGATTTTACACACACACCCTGATTTCCTGATTTTCAGCACATCCTGAAATAGCAGAAGCCCCAGCCCCAGCCACATAACCATGCGCGGCTTTAATGAGTTGCCACTGACCCCTGAGTCTGTGAAGGTCTCCAGTTCCATCCTGACTGGCCCTTTAACCCCGTTCTGTTATTCCTCTGGACTCTGTGGGCATTTGATTGGAGGCCACTAATGACATACTTCCTGAAGGCCATTTTCCAACTGCTGCATTCACTTAGAGCAGGGCACTAAGGACTTTAATAGCTTGACCTGGTGTCCCACCAAAACAGGGAAGGAAAAGAAAGGTCCCAGGGTACAACCCTTTGGGGAAATGAGAGACTTAGATCTCTTTTTGGAGGACAGGAGACTTTCTGAGAAGCCCCAGCCTGGAAAATGGTTCACCCAACTTACTTCTGATGAAAAACGTATTGCTATCCTGAAAAGGCACATTTTAGGATACAGAAGATTAAGGCTGAGCTTCTTCCCAGGGCACTGCATTTTCATTGAGGTCCCTGCCCCACCCCATATAAATTGGCTTTTCCTGGGGAATGGGAGACTCCAATGACATGGGTGCCATCCAGAAACTCAGGGGCCACCCTTACTTTTTCTCCCCCAACCCCTCCCCAAACCCTGTTCAAACTATTGGCAAATCAGAATGGCTCTATTTTCAGAAAGCATCCATCGGCTAGCCACTTCCCATCCCCCCACTGCCACTGGTTCCAGCCCCACCATCTCTCTCTAAGCTTATTACAACAGCCTCCTAAACTCCCTCTGCCATGGTGGCCCCATTGAAACCCATCTCCTTATTACATCTTTTCCTCCTCCCTGTCAGTGGGGATGATAACAGGACACCGGACCCAGTGGGCTGAGCGGGTGGGGTGTGCACCCTGAGCAGCATCGGACCCCTGATGAGCTCAGGACGTGTGTAGCCAGCAGCAGCTCCCTGGCCTGCTTCCGCCCTCCACTGCTCTGGTCTTTGCCCACTTCCCCAATTTCACCTTGTATATCTCCCCGTTGTTCTTACGTTCTTTTTCATCATGCTTTTGACAGTTTTTAAAGATCTATTTATTTGGTTATTATGTTATGGATGTCCGTTTCCCCCACTAGCCTGCAGGCTCCATGGGGCAGGGTGTGTCCTTCCTCATCTCTATGGTAACGCCCACGCCTCACCCAGTGCACAATAGCACACTAGCAGGTACTCGGCACATAATTATCAAATGAACCAATGCAAGTACCATCCACCTTGCCGATGGGTACTAACCCACCTCAGTGTGCCTATTTTCTCTCTATTCGCCTGGCCACTTACCCTAAAAACATTAACACCCGCCATAAGAATGGGGACTCCCTGGCTCTCATGTTGCTCCTGCCTGTCCCCCTCCACAGCTGAGGTCACTGAGCTCCAGGCAGCCACTACCAGTTGATCAGAAAATCTATTGCTTCCCCTAACCTGCTATGTGCAAGGACCGAGCAAGGTCAGAGGAGGGATATAAAACAGCCTTTCAGTAAACAGGTCTGTTAGCACATTCCTTGTGTGTGTTGCTGCACGGACACTATACTTACTGATTTGTTCTTCTGACTCGCCTCCTAGAACGTACGGCTCATGAGGGCAGGCATTTTGATCTAGTTTGTTCGCCCCTGGATTTCCACCAGCTAGAATGCTGTCTGGCATGGAGTAGGCCCTCAATAAATATTTGTTGAGGAAATAAACAAACACTCACAGTGTCTTTCAGGGCCCAGGTGGAGCACATGTCTCCACCTCTGAGCACTCCCTGGAACTCAACATACCCGGTGCTTTTGCAACACTTATCACTGTAGTAAGATCTATGTGGGAGGCACCGAGCTTGGGGTTCAGAGGGCTGCAAAAGACACTTTCAACAAGTACCTACTACTTAGTATCAGTCTAGAAGCTCCAAAGAGCAAAGACTAAGTCTTTTTTTGTTTTGTTTTCTGTCTCGTTCTCTATGCCTGGTACTCAGTGAGTGTTCAATAAACACTTTATGAGTCTATGTTGGAAAGAGGGATGGAGGAAGAGAACTAAAGTCAGGGTTGGGGGGATGGAGGGATGGATGGTTGCAACACTGATGTCAAGTGGTCAGATGCTGCTCCGGACCCCTCCCAGGAGGCCCCAGCCCCAGTACCTTGAGGTCCAGGTGCAGAACCTGCATCTCATGCATGAAGAGGATCCCGTCGCAGATCTGCCTGACAAACACCATGGTGTCCACCTCGGTCAGCTGATAGTCCTCATCCACAATCCTCTCGAAGAGCTCGCCGCCCTCGATGCTGCATGCACAGACCCCTCTACAGGCTGCTTCTGGGCCTCTGGCACCCCACCCGGCCCCCTGCCCCCACTGCTGGCACTCACTACTCCAAGAACAGGATGATGTCGTGTGGGGTCTCGATGGCTGCATAGAGCTGGATCAGATTGCGGTGGTTCAGCTGGTTCATAACCTCAATCTCAAGCATCACCATTTCCTGGGGACCAAGGAAGTCGGGAGGAACCATCTAAGTGTCATCACTCCCTGCCCTCCATACCTGCACCCTGACCAGACCTTGCCCAGACCACTGCCAGCCTCCTCGCTGGCCTTGCCTCCTGTCTCTCCCCACACCCAAGCCTGAGTCCTCACCACCCCAGTCCTTCCTGGTGGGACGCCATTGCTTTGTGGTTCCTCCCCTCCTCTGACTGAATACTGGCATCCTAGGGGCCCAGTCCTCCCTGCCCTCCACCCTCCCTACACTCTCTCCCTGGGCATTCTCCTCACGCCCACGCCTAGACAATTCCACCCGAATGTGGTCAGTCTCTAAACACATGTCTCCACCTCTGAGCACTCCCTGGAACTCAACATACCCGAATCTCCAACTGCCCAAGTGCCCTTCCCCTTGGAGGTCTGACAGGCATCTCAATGGTCATGTCCCAAATTCAGCCCTGATGCCACCCCTCCCCCACACTTGAGTTGCCCTCGGCTTTCCCCTTAGCACCAGGTGTGCAGGACTAAAAGTTAGGAGCAACCCCAGATTCTTCTCTTAATCTTGCTTCCTCACACCCCACATCCAATCCATCAGTAAACCTTCTGACTCTACCTTCAAACTAGGTTACAGATCTCATCACTTCTCACTTCCTCCACCACGGCCTGCTTAGCCTACGCCACCATTATTGTCACTTTGAGAAAGTCTGCAAGCCAGCGGTCACATTGGCAGTTTGAAATCAGCTATGGTAGAAATATTTACACCACGGAAATCAGCGAATGCTACAAACGAGCTGTCCCCCAGAACACCTTATCACCACCCAAATTCCTTCCTCTCTCTCCTTATCCCATTCCTTCATTGGTATCTCAGCTGACACACGTTCCTCAGGAGCCTGACCTCGCCCCACTGTCTGAACGGCCCCTGTCAGCCCCACACTCCCCGTTTCTTTTTTTTTTTTTCTTTTATCCTCACCCGAGGACACTTTTCCATTTTTTGTACAGATAGAGTGGGAGGGAGAGAGAGGAAGGGAGAGAGAGAGAGAAACATCGACGTGAAGGGACACATCGAGTGGCTGCCACCCGCACGACCAACCAGGGCCGGGGACAAACTGCAACCAAAGTACGTGCCCTTAGTGGGAACTGAACCCGGGTCTCTCTGGACCGCAGGTCGACGCTCTACCGCTGAGCCAAACCGGCCAGGGCCACTCCCTGTTTCTTACCTGCCTTTCTTTTTCTTCTTAGCACTTCTCAGTTCCTGCCTGGGTTTGTTTTTGGTTTTGGTTTTGCTTTTGCTTTGTATTGCGTTTTGTTTTTTAGTCGTCTGTTTCTCTTCTCCAGCATGTCAACCCATGAGGGCAGGGACTCTTAGTTCACTGCCATTTTCCTCGCAGTGAGTGGCACAAAAACAATTGCTTGGTAATTAATTAATCAATAGCTGCCTCCAGTAAATTTACACAGCAATATGGATTGAGCATCTACACTGAGCCAGATGCACGACAGAGGCCTGGGGACCCAGCAGTCAGTAATATGGATCCAGGTCCTGTCAAGTGGAAGGGGCAGAGCACACAGAAAACACTTGCCTTCCCAAGTGCTTGGAGCTATGACGGGATGCAGGGCTGCAGCCGTCCAGAGCTGCTTCTCTACTCTCTCTGGGCTCCGGGCCTCTGCATGTGCTGCCGTCTCTGCTGGAATGCCCACAACCTCACTCCTCTGTCTCCCGTCAGGGGTCCCCAGCAGTTACCTGCTATTTCTGGTGCTCAGGCCTCTCCCCCCACAGTCCCTCCTTCTCCATAGTGTTCATTTCGGAGACAGCCAGTCTAGGAAGCTTCCCTGACCCCCAGGTTGAAACAGGAGCCTCCTTGGCCCCCTCCTCATGACCCCTGTCCTAACTTTCCCGAGTTACAGCTCTCATCACACCAGGTGGCTAGTTAGTTCATCACCACCTCCTCACACACCCTCGCTCCCTGAGAACCTCTGCCGGCCTTCCTTCCTTCCTTCCTACCTTCCTTCCTTCCTTCCTTCCTTCCTTCCTTCCTTCCTTCCTTCCTTCCTTCAACAAGCCCTGCTCTCGACCTCTTCCGAACCAGGCCTGGGCTGGGGCTGGAGGCAGAACTCTGGACCAGGCCCGTCTACCTTGGTGTTCCCTGAGGGTGGGGACCGCATTTGCTTTGCTCTGGACACCCAGTGCCCAGCACGGGGCCTGGCCCAGAGCCTGCACTTAGCAGTATTTGTTGAATTGAACAAAACAGAGGGCATGAATATCCTGTGCCAGAAGGGGAAGTCCCCGGGATGCGTTCACTAACTGTGGTGTCTGATTTACGCTTAGGGGCATCAGGCCCCAGTGGCAGGGCTGTCTGCCTGTCCTTTTTTTTTTTTTATCCTCACCCGAGGACATTTGTTCATTGTTTGTTCAGATAGAGTGGGAGGGAGAGAAAAGAAGAGAGAGAGAGAGAAAAACATTGACGTGAAAGGGACACATCGAGTGGTCGCCACCTGCACGACCCAACCAGGGCCGGGGACAAGCTGCAACCGAGGTACGTGCCCTTAGCGGAAAATGAACCCGGGTCTCTCTGGACCTCAGGCCAATGCTCTAACTGCTGAGCCAAACGGGCCAGAGCCATCTGTCCATTTGGACAGACACGTGGGTAGAGGGAAGTGAGAGCCCCCCCCCCACTCCAAAGATCCTCCCTCTCATATAACAAGCCCTCACTCCCAATACCTTGTCTTTGGGTGTCTGTTTTTTTATGACCTTGGCTGCCAACTTGAGGCCTGTGGCTTTCTCTGTGCAGGTACAGACTGCTCCGAACTTGCCACTGGGGAGAGAAGAGGCTGGGAGTGAAGGTTCCCAGGGGCAAGGGCTGAGGGGGACTTGTGCTGTGCCCATCTGGGTCCCCGCCATGAGATGGGGACACTCGCCCAGCTAGCCCTGACTCCCTCCTGAAGCTGTACTGCTGGGACAATGGCTGAACCACACAAACTGTGGGTCCAGGAAGGGCAGGCTGATCTGGAGGGTGGTCTCTGATGTGACAACCTGAGGCTCTGGACCCCAGGGAAGGAAACCATCAGAGCTTTTTACAAAGCAGAAATCACCTTGAGGGGTCAGTGTGGTGCCTGAAACTGAGACAGACAGGAAAATACTGTGTACTTCCTATAGGAAATACTGAATGACCGATGATGTGTCTGTGTGAGTGACAGTGACATGATTAGACATCAGTCACATGACAGCTTGCACATGACAGGTGCAACCACTGGAAGCAATTGTGCCCATGTGGGTCATGCCCAGTGGGGTGTGGCTGGGCCTTGCAGGGAAGATGTAAAGCCCCAGGGGGTTCGATGCTTTCCAGGGACTCAGGGCCCAGCTCTCACCCGCCCAGCGCCTCCTTGGAGTTCATGCTGAATTGACTGTTGACGTTCCCGGTCCTCAGCTCCACAATGCGATGGGGGAAGGGGGCCGGGGGTGGTGGGCAATCATCTGGAGGCAGAGCAGAGCCATCAGTCAGTGCCAGTGGCTGCTGAGGATCCACCGTGGCCCCACCGCCTCCTGCCCCCAGAGAAATTAGCTGAGTGATACCTGGGAGACAGCTGGTTCCCGGACAGGGGCTAGGGGGCTCACTTTCCAGTTTAAGCTCTGCCACTACCATACACAATGGTCTTGGGAGGCCTCTGCCTCTGACACAGGGAGGCTCACCTGCTCCCGGCACCACAATAGGGATGGTCCATTGGACTACTAGGACCCTCCCAAGCTATCTGCATTTTCATTGAAGAAAAAGGGGCAACTGTAATGGTGGGGTGCCAGATAGGGGTTATTATGTCCGATGGGGGAGGTGATGGGATCTGCCTACCATCCACTCAAATAACATCACAAGCTGGCCAGAGCTGTGGAATGGGTGTCTAACCTGTGCAAGGCCCAGGGGCAGGAGGGGTGGCTGGGTGGGGGCTGGGAGTAGAGGCAGGGACGGAGTTTGGTAGGGAGAGGCTGCCACCTAGTGACAACAAGAGGGAACAGGGGCCCTGGCAGCCCACTGTCTGAACCTTCGGGAATAGAAACCTCTTTATAAATAGCAAGGGTGGCAGGGAAGCCGGGCTGGTGATAAATCAGACAGCCCTTGGAGGTTGTTCAGGTCCCGTCACTGTGAGGATGTGATTTCTGGGCGGGGCGGGGCGGGACGGAGGTCTCTGCTGCTACTCAGGGGAGGAGTCAGGACTCCTGGCTGCCGCCCAGCCGCCAGGCCCTCCCAACCTGTCTGGGTGGCACTGTGCCGCTTACCAGGCAGGCTGGCGAGTCTCCCTGGGCACCTCGGCCCAGGGGGGAGGGTGTCAGGACACTTGGGCTCTCCTGACCCCATCTCACCCCACCCCCAACCCCGCTGCACCCTTGCCCAAATCTATTCATCTACTCGCCAAGCTCAAGCATGCTCAGTGGCTCCCTGCTGCCCTCTGAATAAACCACAGGCTCCTTGTCTGATCACCAGTTAAGGCCATGCCACAGTCCTACCTCATCTCACGTGCCCAGCTTCTTTGGTCACTACTTCCACCCACAGACACCTGTGCTCCTCAGCTCATGAACCGTCTATAGCTCCCATGACCCTTCCCTCCCTGTCCACCGTGTAGTTTAATTACCAAAGCCTGGCATTTTAGTCCTACAGACTGACTTCAAATTCCACTGTCCGGAGAGTTGGTGTTGCTCCAATAAGCTGCCTGACTTTTTTCAAAGCTCTATTTTAGCCGAAAGTAAAAGAAAATCAAAATTGGACTCTAGGGTCAGGCTGTCCTAACAGGTTCAACTCCTACCCTAGCTCTGGATCTGGGGGCTCCATTTCCTTTCTGTGAGCCTCTGTTTCCCACCTATCAAAAGGGTCTAGAAGCTCATATTTCCTAGAGTGTGTGACACTTAGATGACTCAGCCTGGGTGAGACATGGCTCAGAGCAATCCAGTCCTCTCAATGGGGCAGACTTAGGGATCCCCCTTCCCTCTTCTCTCAGCCCCAGGCAACCCCAAGCCCACACCTCCCCATGGCCTACCCAAAATCTGGAAGCAGTCCTCCTCCCTGGCTGTGGGACAGCGGGCCTGCCCCACCTCCGATCTCTCCGGGGACACAGCCTGGAACTCGATCCCCCTCGAGGTGTCCCCTTGCACCTTAGCCTGGCCAGTCTGGCCTGGAGCCTTCTCTTCTGCTTCCTTCTGGCTGCCTTCCAGGATGTTTTCCCCTCCTTCTGCTGCCTTGGCTGGCTCAGGCTCCATGGGGCTGGGGGTCACGGGCACCCCTTCAAAGATGAGCTCCGATGCCTCATTTGGGGGCTTCTCAGCCAGCAGGTTCTCGGGACTAGAAGGTGAGAACACAGAGGTGATGCCCTTAGCAGCCACAGCCCCATTGTGGCCTTCAGCAGGTCTTCATGCTTCCAAAGCCTCATCTGTTCTCTGGAGCTAATATAACCCTGCCCTCCCCACCCCAAATGCAGGGGGTAATGCATCCAAATTCTCTTTATACAAATTTAAGGGATGCTAATACTATTATAAATGACTGTGGTCATTATCTTGACTATCAACACACTCATAGATAATTATTAACTAACTATGAATAGGATTGTTGGTATGGTTAATCATTATGTGGATATAATTAGGGAGATAATGTAGCACTTGATTCATAAAAATGGTGTCAATGCAATTGATATTAATATAAAATTTAAATTGATATGTTAAGTGTTATTGTGGTTTGTAATATATCATTAATGACCTCATTAATGTGATTAGCGATCAGGTAAGTGTAATTGATTACATCATAAGACTGATGCTTTATTATGAAAAGTATTAGTAAGTTATGAAAGTATTAGTAAGGATCTACCAGTCTGCTATTAGTCATCTTTCCATGTTATACTGATTGTTATACTAAGAAGAGGGGTTATCCTTTCCTCCTGACGCCTCGGCTCCATCGTTGGTTAGACCCAAGTTCACAGAATAAGGGGAAGTCTGGACCACAGGTGTCTAGAGAAGAAGAGTTCCACCTGGGCTTCTCTGAGGACCTCTCCTACCTGACAGTCCAGGCTTCTATGAAATTCCTGGTTTATGCAAGGGGACAAAGAGGTACGGCCAATACCCAGAACAGAAGTCGCTGAACATCAGAACTACCCAACCCACCAGTGAATGTGACGACAATGATTCCCAGGACAGAGGAGCTCAGCATCCCCCCTGAGGACAGAGTCCAGGACCCCTCCAGGCAGGGGACATTCACCTGGAGATGACGGCAGGGCAGCTGGGGCTATGTAGGAAGGCCAGTGAGCCCCTCCTGGCGGCTTCTTGGCCCTCTGCTGCCTTCTTTCGCTCCTTGGGTTCTCCAGGATCCTGGCTGCCCGAGGCCTTCTGATCATCGTCATTGGGCTTCTTGACACTGGCCTCAGCTGTCTGGGTCTGCTGGGGCAGGGCTGCCGGCTGGCCTGCACTGCCCTCCGCAGGCCTCCCGCCCAAGTCGCCTTCTCCCTCCAGATCCTGGCTGCTAGTTGAGGGTTGGGCCAGGGCACCATCCCCTTTCTCTGGGGCAGGGGCTTTGGCACCTTTCTTCAGGGTAGGTGAACCAGATTCTTTCTTTGGGTCTGGGGGGCCAGGTTCTTTCTTTGGGTCTGGGGGGCCAGGTTCCTTGTTTGGTTCTGGGGGGCCAGGTTCTTTCTTTGGGTCTGGGGAGCCAGGTTCTTTCTTTGGGTCTGGGAGCCCAGATTCTTTCTTTGGGTCTGGGGGGCCAGGTTTTTTCTTTGGGTCTGGGGGGCCAGATTTTTTCTTTGGGTCTGGGGGGACAGGTTCTTTCTTTGGATCTGGGGGGCCAGGTTCCTTGTTTGGTTCTGGGGAGCCAAGTTCTTTCTTTGGGTCTGGGGAGCCAGGTTCTTTCTTTGGGTCTGGGGGGCCAGATTCTTTCTTTGGGTCTGGGGGGCCAGGTTTTTTCTTTGGGTCTGGGGGGCCAGATTTTTTCTTTGGGTCTGGGGGGACAGGTTCTTTCTTTAGGTCTGGGGGCCCAGGTTCTTTTTTTGGGTCTGGGGAGACAGGTTCCTTCTTTGGATCTTGGGGGACAGGTTCCTTCTTTGGGTCTGAGGGCCCAGATTCTTTCTTCGGGTCTGGGGGGACAGGTTCCTTCTTTGGACCTGGGGGTACAAGTTCCTTCTTTGGGTCTGGGGGCCCAGGTTCTTTCTTTGGGTCTGGGTGGTCAGATATCTTCTTTGGGTCTGGGGGGGCAGGTTTTTTCATTGGGTCTGGAGGGGCAGGTTTTTCCTTTGGGTCTGGGGGGCCAGGTTCTTTCTTCGGGTCTGGGGGGGCAGGTTTTTCATTTGGGTCTGGAGGGGCAGGTTCTTCCTTTGGGCCTGGGGGCCCAGGTTCTTTCTTTGGGTCTGGGGGGGCAGGTTTTTCATTTGGGTCTGGAGGGGCAGGTTTTTCCTTTGGGTCTGGGGGCCCAGGTTCTTTCTTTGGGTCTGGGGGGGCAGGTTTTTCATTTGGGTCTGGAGGGGCAGGTTTTTCCTTTGGGTCTGGGGGTCCAGGTTCATTCTTTGGATCTGGGGGGCCAGATTCTTTCTTTGGGTCTGGGGGGACAGGTTCTTTTATTGAATCTGAGGGGACAGCTTCCTTCTTTGGGTCTGGGAGGTCAGGTTTTTTCTTTGGGTCTGGGGAGACAGGTTCTTTTTTTGGGTCTGAAGGGCTAGTTTCCTTCTTTGGGTCTGGGGGGCCTGGTTTTTCCTTTGGGCCTGGGGGGCCAGGTTTTTTCTTTGGGTCTGGGGGGCCTGGTTTTTCCTTTGGGCCTGGGAGACCAGGTTCTTTCTTTGGGTCTGGGGAGTCTGGTTTTTTCTTTGGGTCTGAGGGTAAAGTTTCTGTTTTTGGGTCTGGGGGGTCAGGTTCTTTCTTTGGGTCTGGGTCTGCAGACTCATTCTTTGGGTCTGGGGCGGTAGGCTCATTCTTTGGGTCTGGGGCGGTAGGCTCATTCTTTGGGTCTGGAGGGCCAGTGTCTTTGTTTGGGTCTGGGGGGCCAGGGTCTTTCTCTGCAGCTTGGGCTCCTTCGCCTGCTTCACTTTTAGGTGCCTTGTCTGTAGAGGAGGTGAGACACCCGTCAGAATTCACCCTCCTCCCCCTCTCTCCCTAGCCAGGCTGGCCAGAGACCAGCTCTGAGCCCTGGTCCCCACCAAGGCAACAGTTTGTAAATGCTTGTCCCCCTGAGCCTCTAGGGCCACTTGATGGGCTCTAGAGATGGGTCACCGGGATCTCAGAGGCCTATACAGCGGGCTTCTAGTCCTCTGGTGGGCTTAGATGCCCCTCCATCCCTCGCCCTGTATTTAGGTGCCGTCCATGACAGCTTCACATTTTCCTAGTCTCTCTGGGGAAGAACTCATGGGAGCTCCTGACCCAGCCCAGCCTTACCCAGAGAGAATTCTGATTTCTGAGTCTCCCATGCACCATACAAAGAGGCCTTGGGCACAGAACTACCACTGAGGAACTGGCCCAAATGTGGATTCAAACACCCCTTCCCAAGCTCCTCCCTCCGTCTCCTGCCCAGCTTGGCACCTGTTGATGAGCTCTGGATTCCCAGCTCGACTGCTCCGTTTTCTGTCGCCATGAGGTAGGGAGGCGTACGCTTCTGCTTGTCTATCTCAAGTCTGTCTAGCTGCAGAAAGAAGCATGAGGTGTGTCAGGCTGTCAGATTCCTCTTCTTGTCAAGCTGAGAGGAGGCCAGGGACAGCTGGCCGAGGGGAGAGAGATACCTGGAGCAGAGAGGGGCAACCTGGTGGCCGTCTGTTTTGCAGCGGCTGCCCAGGAGCAGTCCTGGGGCAGTTGTAAGGGATCGAGCTGGGTGGGCAGAGGCGGAGGCAGGGGCGCAGGCGGGGAGGCGGGGACGGAGGAGAGGATCTCTTACACCAGGGGCCATGCAGCTCGGACTGCCACCACCTGTCACTCTTGGCCCCCATTCAGAGGACACAGCATTCTTCCCACGGACCGACTGGGGGGAGAGTGATGTTGGAACAAGCAGGAAGAGAAAAAGGAGGGGGCACCTGGGGCCCCAGGGGAGCAACCTTTCCCCAGGCCTTGGCTTTAACGGGATCAGGGAGGGGGCCTGGAAGAAGAGGGGCTCTCAGGCAGGGCTGAAGGGCAAGACTATGCGCAGGCCGGGCCCTGGTTTGGTCCCTCTGTATGCCACATCTCCCACGGTCCCCCAGAACCTGGTTAGAGCCACACAGGCCCAGAAATAATCACCCTGATCCCAATGCCCAACTCTGTGCCCATGAGCCCTGCCCCTGGCAATTGGACTTACTTGGAGCATCTTTGGGTAAGAAATTGTCTCAAGGGCACTTGCCCAAGGTGCCCATGGGCCTGAAAGCCTTTTCTTTTGTTTAAAAAAAATTTTTTTTTTTCTCTTTATTGATTTTAGAGAGAGAGGAAGGTAGAGGGAGGGAGAGATAGAAACATCTATGAGAACATCAACTGGCCGCCTCCTGCACGCCCCCCACTGAGGATTTGGCCCACAACCTGGGCATGTGCCCTGACTGGGAATCGAACTGGCAACCTCTTGGTGCATGGGTCAATGCTCAACCACTGAGCCACACCTATGTGGCTGGGCTGAAATCCTTTTCTTTGGAAAATGTCTTTTTCTGGGGCTCCTGGGGAGATGGAGGCTGTCCCAAGTGGCTGTGGGAGAGGGTCAGTGCCCCAGTGGCCCTCCCCTGAGTGCTCCACGTCTCTCCAGTGCCCTTCCCCTGAGTGCTCCACGTCTCTCCGGTGCCCTTCCCCTGAGTGCTCCACGTCTCTCCGGTGCCCCTCCCCTGAGTGCTCCACGTCTCTCCGGTGCCCTTCCCCTGAGTGCTCCACGTCTCTCCGGTGGCCCTCCCCTGAGTGCTCCACGTCTCTCCGGTGGCCCTCCCCTGAGTGCTCCACGTCTCTCCGGTGCCCCTCCCCTGAGTGCTCCACGTCTCTCCGGTGGCCCTCCCCTGAGTGCTCCACGTCTCTCCGGTGCCCCTCCCCTGAGTGCTCCATGTCTCTCCGGTGCCCTTCCCCTGAGTGCTCCAGTCTCTCCGGTGCCCCTCCCCTGAGTGCTCCACGTCTCTCCGGTGCCCCTCCCCTGAGTGCTCCACGTCTCTCCGGTGCCCCTCCCCTGAGTGCTCCACGTCTCTCCGGTGCCCCTCCCCTGAGTGCTCCACGTCTCTCCGGTGCCCTTCCCCTGAGTGCTCCACGTCTCTCTGGTGCCCCTCCCCTGAGTGCTCCACGTCTCTCCAGTGCCCTTCCCCTGAGTGCTCCACGTCTCTTCAGTGCCCTTCTCCGGTGCCCTTCCCCTGAGTGCTCCATGTCTCTCCGGTGGCCCTCCCCTGAGTGCTCCATGTCTCTCCGGTGCCCTCCTGGAAGGAGGGGCTGATGGAGAGTCTTCCAAGGATCCTCCACCGAAGTGATGCTCTAGGGGCCCCTCCAGCCCGAGGTGATCAGGTGAGATGGGATGGTTGTGAGGTGTGATCCGGGGGGGCCACCCATCATCCAGGGGCTGTCTACCCCCAGCCTTTCTCTGAAAGGGAACTTGAGAACTAGCCAAACCGAGTGCATTGGAAATAGCTCTGGCATGGGCGTCTGGGTCCAGGTCCTAACTATGGCGAGGCTCAACCCCGCTGTCAAACGAAGAAGACAAACCCTGCCCTCAGGTGGGAAAAGGGAGGGGAGATGAGCTGAGAACACAGTGCATCTAAGCAATGGGCAATAACCGCTAAGCTGTGAAGCAGAGCGAGGAATCTGTGAATGAACCGACAGGAAGCAATCTCCAAAGTGGAAAAAAATAAAGCCAGGTACAGGATAGCATGAAGAGAATGCTACCACTGGGCAAAAAGGGGTGTAATATGTAATGTTTAACGTCATCATATATGTAACACTATATGAATTTTCACTTTATACATGTAAGAATTGTTCTGGCAAGATAAATAAGCAAACAGTGGGACCAAGGCAGGGAGGGAGACAAATACCTGCCCTTTAACTTTTCTATTTGATCCCAGAACTATGTGAACAGATTACTCTTCAAAGTGAGTGTCTTTTTTTTAAGTGAGCAAATGTTGGGGAAAAAACAGGCAAAGAGAAAAAAAAAAACAGAGTTAGAGCTCACATTGATGTGAGAGAGACACATCAATTGGTTGCCCCCTGCATGACCCAGGCCGGGGATTGAACCTGTAACCCAGGTACGTGCCCTTGACTGGGACTCAAATCCGCTCTAACCACTGAGCAAAACCAGCCAGAGCTCCTTCCTCATTCTTTTTTTTTTTTTATCCTTACCCGAGGACATTTTTGCATTTATCTTCAGATAGAATGGGAGGGAGAGAGGGAGGAAGAGAGAGAGAAACATTGATGTGAGAGAGATACATCGAGTGGCCGCCACCCACACAACCCCGGTTCGCAACCGGGGCCCAGGACAAACTGCAACCGAGGTACGTGCCCTTAGCGGGAACCGAACCCGGGACTCTCTGGTCTGCGGGCCGATGCTCTAACCGCTGAACCAAACAGGCCAGGGCTCCTTCCTCATTCTTGATGACTTTTGTTCTTCTTGGTCCTCCCCTTCTGACCTGGACCCCCGTCCATTTCTCTCCTCACAGTCCAGGTGACAGCCTGCCTCTGCTAGAAAGCAAAAATAATAGCTGATGCCTGTCTAGGACTTGCCCTGTGTGCCAGGCCTCGTTCTCAGTGCTCTCCTGTGGTTCACTCATGTGGTCTTCAGAACAACTCAATGAGGTAGCTACGCCCACAGATGGGGAAACTGAGGCATGGAGAGGTTAACTAACTTACCCAAAGTCATCCAGTTTGTAAGGGACTGAGCGAGGACCTGAACCCAGACTCTAAAGGGAAGGGAGCTCCCATGTTTTTGAGTGCCTACTATTACCAGCTTTATCCGTATTGTCTTAAAACATCATCTTGATAATAATAAGTCTGTGGGGAGCTTTCGTCTTATTTTCTAGAGGAAGACAGGGAGGATCAAAAGATCAACTAATTTGCCCAAAGTTACTCCACAGGGAAGGGAGTTGAGCCAGAAACGTCCTTCTTCACAGCCTCAAGTTCTCTTTCTTCTGTCAAGTTTCCCAGCCTGTGCCTCGCCCCCCTTTCCCTGCTGGGGTCTCAGCATTCTGAAGGTTGAAGTGCTTCCTGGACCCGTTATTGGGAGCCCCAGGCTCCCAGAGCAGCTTCTGGTTTAGCTTGAAACGCTGGACCTCCCTCCTCTGGCCTCCTTCAACCGCAGGTTGACCCCATGATTGACACTGTCTGGAAGCCCCTTGGGGGCGGGGGCTGCGTGATGCTCACCTGTGTCCCCAGCACAAAGTGTACTTGCAAATCAGTGTTGGATGAGTGACTAGCAAGGGTCTGGCCTAGGTGTGAAGGATTGCTCTACTATGATGGCCCTTGCTGACATCCTCTTGTTAGTGTGGTTGTCAATACCGCTCACTTATCGAGTGAGCGCCCATTAAGGGCCAGGCCTGACTCTGCCAAAGGCTTCACCCCAGCTCATTGGATCCTCCCTTACAAGGGAGTGAGAGGCCAAGTGTTAGACCCTTCCAATGATGCCAAGAAAGGGTAAGAGGCTTGTCTCTAAAGTCACACAGCTATTGAGTCGCTTCAAATCCAGAGCCACCTCCTGATGGGACCAAACTCCAGACTGGGACGACGTAAGGGGCTTAATTAGCTACTGTTATGATTCCCAAATAATAACTAGCATTTCTCGAACTCTTACATAAACTGGCTGGACCCTGCACTAAGCGACTTCATGAGCATCCTCAATTCAGTTCCGACAGTCTGAGTAGTGGTTAAGAGCTCTGTCAAGCTGAGACTAATAACTGAGGCAAATACCTTTGCTTGTTTCCTCTCCTGTAGGAGCATCTGCTTCTCAGGATGGGGATGGTGGGATACAAAGCATGTTGAACAATGCATGGGTACATAGTAAGTGCTTTATAAATGTCAGCTATTTCAACTCTATTCAAAGATGCGACAGGAAAACGGAGTCACAGAGCAAACTCACTGAGTTGAGTATGAACCACCTAATCCAAGGCTTAACTCATCACCCCTCTGCCCGTTGCCTCTCTCCCAGGGGGGCTGGGACTGTTTAGTGAGCACGTGTATCAGAGTGCTTAGCGGCACAGTGGAGTCTCCATAATGATGTGGACACCCCAGGTAGAGGGCTCAGCTGTCCCTGCAGGCTCCTCCGTGGTGTCTCTGGCTGGGATGAGAGACTGGCCTGGTTCCGGATCCACAGGATTGCCTGCAGCTTGCTGGCCGCCCAAGCTGAGCTCAGCTTGGCCAGCTGCTCTGGGAGTCCCTTAGCTTCTTTTCAGCTCTCCCTTGGAGGCACAGGGTGGGACCTGGAGAAAGCTCCTCCACCCAGCTGGGGGCTGCCAGAGCCCCTGCCCACCCTTAAAAAGGGGCTTTCCCACCCTGCACCAGCCGTGCACCCTCTTTGCCTCCACAGGGGCAAGGCAGGAAGTGGAGCAATGCCAGAACCAATTAAACCTGCCAGGGGAATTAAGGTCAGCAGGATGCAATTATGTCTGTTGGATTTAACAAGGCCAGAGGGAAGGTATCTCTAGCCAGAGTTCACAGCTTCTTAGGCCTCTTGCCCTGGATGGCTCTGCACTCCAGAAGCCTGGGCTCCCGGGCTCAGCCATTTCTGGGAGATTTCCTTGGGAGGGGAGGGGTTAATTGCAGCTGGGCACTGCTTCCCTGGCTCCTGGGATGAAATTGATCCAGCCAAGATGCTTTTAAAAGGACCTGCTCAGAGGAGACATTCCCAGCCTCACCCTCTCCCTG